TAATATATATATATATATATATATATATATCTGATATAACTATCAGATTACATAAAGTTACAACAATCAGTTAACATAAAACAATAACTATCAGATAACATAAAGCAACAACTATCAGTTACTTCGAGAATATCAACTTAGGCTAAGATTTATTGAACTACAGACCATTTGAAATTTACACCCACAAGGAAGTACTCAGTTCGCCACATTGCGCCAGTTACTACGTCAATTGCATCACTCGAGAAACTCTATTTATAGACAGACAGATCCTGCAGAGTTTATCAGGTCGTCCAGCTGTCTAACATATTCACGTCTATTGTGTGAGTTGTATGATCCCGTCATGGTAAGAAGTTTGTGTTCTTGTGCGTTAAAACGTTTGGCAATCGAGGTAGGGGTTAAAGATTAAATGTTAAATGTACTTGACGAGATGTCGAAGCAAAAATAGAATACTGTTTGTGACAATCACAGATCAATTTATTTGACAATCAAAGAACATTTAATATGACAATAATATAACAATCTATGTGACAATCACAAAAAATTCATGCGACGATCAGAGCTCAATTTAGGTGACAGTTACAGAAAAGTTTTATTCCCTCTGTTACACAGATGCGACTTGTACTCATCTCCTTGCTGGTCGTGTTGGTGTCTGGGACTGTGAGAGCACAGAACGACGTAGACAACAACGGGTTTGAAGAAGTTGACCGTCGTGATATCTTCTACATTCTATTTTGCGATGTGCACACTGAACAAAGGTGTATGCTGGGGAAGAAATCATCTGAGGTAAAGTTTTAGAAGTAAAAAAAAAAAATTGCTTCGTTATTTTTTTTTAAAATTTGGTCTAAATTAATAAAATTGATTTATTATAGTTCAGAAGATTAAAAATCATTTTCATAACACTAATATTATTAGGTTACTTGTCATTAAATATTCTCAATACACGAAAATTTAATAACTAAGTCCTATAACAACCTTAAAATAAAATTACATAATAACGTACATATATACATATGTATATATACATACATTTATATAGGCATATATATATATATATATATATATATATATATATATATATATATATATATATATATATATATATATATATATATATATATATATATTTGTACATATTAATCAGGAAATTTTTGACATCACGGATATCAATGTCAACTTTAATTTCCGTTCTTCTCTGTTTTAATAGGAGCCTTCGCAGATTGAATGAACTCATTACAACCTACGCTTTGATTCAGTTAAAGAACTACTATCAGCCAACATCTTCACTACCGAATGTATCACTACAAATTATAATAAATCAGAAAAGGAACATATATATGAACTGTAATTATTATTTCAAACATTCTAAATTGTACGACGATTCTGCTTGTGTGACGGTGACCTATGGTTTTAGTTCCCAAATGGCCAGTTTAATTTTTAATACGTTTATGATAGAGACAGTGCAGAGGCGTAGCGAGGGGGGGGGGGCGGGGGGGGGGGACGACGACGACATATGTTTGAGGGGGTGGGTGCAAATCGAAATCCTGAGGGGGGGGGGGGCAAATTGAAAGTTTGAGGGGGTGGGGGTGCTAATCGAAAGCTTGAGGTGGGGTGCAAATCGAAAGACCCGGGAAGGGTCGCTACGCCTCTGAGACAGTGTGAGTAAGTTATTCATAGCACGTGCAATCATAGGGAACATTTTAAAAGGAAATACTTTCTTGTTATATCTTAGGGGATATGCATAACAAATTTTACTAGATAATTTGATTAAAAAATCTTTATATTAATTTTTCAAGGGGATTGACTCCGATTAAAAATTATTAAATACCCTTTAGGAAACAATTATATCTTTATATTTTTAAGGTAAATCTGCATGTGTTTCCAACAATACAATTTTTTGGAAAAATCTTGGTAACTATGACAACGGCGGCCATCTTGAAAAGTTAATCTCTTCGTTTTATTTCCACCATTCATGAAATTATATTTTAAGCCCAATAAACTATATATTCATAGTCTTTAACCTTATTTTGGAGTACTCAGCTAAAAATTGTAAGTACATATCTTCGTCTAGCGGTAGAGAGCTGGACTGCTAACCCGTAAGTCTCGAGATAGAATCCGGGTTCAAATCAGTAGACCGTCCCTGAGTCCACCCAACTCTGATGGATACCTAACTCACGTTAGGGAAAGTAAAGACGGCTAGGCATAGTGCTGACACACTATCTCTTTATACGCCAAGGTCACAGAAACAAGTGAACTCTACTTCACTTGCCCTATGGACCGTAAGGTTTGGAAAGGGAACTTTACTTTCATATCTTCAAGCGTTGTTATAACCACTTAATTTTGGGCAATTTTAGAGCATTAAGTTTAGTTTTTTAAAGCACCCACAATTAGAAAATTTCTGTCGTATATTTACACTGAATACATTATTTTCTCTATTTATTTATATTTGAAAGGCACAAACATTAAGCTAGAGGTTCTAACTGCTTTATAAAGTATATGTATAGATATATGCTGCAACAGCCCTATAGCAATACGACTTGAATATATTATTTAATAGGCCTACAAATAGGGCTGGTAAGTAGGTAACCACCCTGTTCTACGGCTCAATAAAAACTGCATGAGCCATAGAAGTGGTTGGTGACCTACCTAACAGCCCTATTAAATGAAAAAAATGGCTATTCTTGATTGATAATAACATCCTTATAGCGATCTAATGAAGGTAATTTATTTGTATTTAAATATTGGTGTCAGATGGGGTATAGATTGCAGGATTGCGAATTCGAATATTTACTGCTACACTATCTTGTTGTTAAGACAACTAGATGTTATTGTGAGTTCTTTCTTTAAAGGCAGACGATAAACTGCTGGTTCATTTCATAACTTTATTTACAATAGTAAAATCAACAAAGTACACAGTTCATTATAGTGATCAAACATCCACCGTTTGATATTGCACTTATACTTAAAATGAGCGACTACACAAGAGAAAAAAATAACAAGAATAATACTGGATAATATCAAGTTGTAACGGTCAAAACACATAATTTTTCCCCTTGCATTCATCTAGGTGGCCTCTCGAACATCTCATTTAACCAGATTATATAGCCCTACATTCACTCCCTTCAGTCAGCGAGCGATAAATAAATAAACCGGGAGTGATCTCCCCTAATCATGGAAAATACAGTGATTGATCGCTCACGCATTCACTTCCGTTGGCCAGGTATTCAACTATCACAATCGTTTCACTTCAAATACATTTCACCACATACAGTCTGTTACAATTACTTACACACCCCTGAATTCATCCAGCTCTTATAGGTACCTGACATGTTAATGTAAGTAAGGCGATTTGGCATAGTGCTTACCACACTCCCTTCGTATGCCTAGTCTACAGGGAAACTCTACTTCCTCTGCTCAATTTTCCGACAGATCAGAGAGTGAACTGAAGGCGAATCTCAATGGTAGGTGGTGAATATTAACAGCAGAAAAGATATAGATATAACTATAACATAATACAAAAGTAAAAACTGTCAGATAAATTAAAACAATTATCAAATTTTATAAAGCAACAGTTACTGAATATCATAAAGGAAAAATATAAATTATAAAGCTACAACTATCAGATAACATAAAAGAATATCTGATATAGTAACAACTATCGGAAAAACATCAAGCATCAACTATCGGATAACATAAAGCAACAACTATCAGATAACATAAAGCAACAACTATAAGATAACATAAATCAACATATCAGATAACATAAAGCAACAACTATCAGATAAGATAAAGCAATAACATCAGATAACATAAAGCAACAACATCAGATAACATAAAGCAACAACTATCAGATAACATAAAGCAACAACTTTTTAAAAAAAAACACGTTTTAGGGTCCTATGGGCGTAATTTAATTAAGCTAATTTAGGTCTCTAATTGCTAGTTTTTATGACTGCATCTGAAATTGTTAGGCGAAAATAGCCTGCATGCCGAATTTCAGATCTCTAGAGCAATCAGAAGTGGGCTAATTTTCGTTGTCAATTTTAACAACAAACAAACAAACGCGAAGCTGAGTTAAGAAAAACGTGGTAAAATTTAAACTCACAGAGACCTTTTTTTTGTATGTTTTATTAATATTTCAGAAGGGACAAACACCGGTCTTGCTGTATGACTGTTGTCTCCTGGTTTTTTTAGTCTACTCTCCGCTGCTGTAAACAAAATAAAAAAAATTGGGATGATTTTGGATACCGTTGTCCGATAATAGACTATTCCATGAAATATGTGTGTTGGGTCGTTAGTAATATTGTAATCTCAACTAATTGTATGGTTAGAAATTAGGGTTAGACGTATGGTAGGACTAACGTTGGGGTTAGGGTTAGCATTGACATTAGCCAGCCATGTGTGTATTTATTTAGTTAACTACCAGTAACCTACCACCCCTTTTAAAAGAAGATTCTATTATCGGGCACTGGTAGAAAAATTTCCCTAAAAAGGTTTTCATTAACGGTATAAAAGATTGAGATGTTTGAAATAGGTACACACATACACATTTTTCAATAAAATATAAATAATTGTAGCCTCTATTAGCGTCCGCCCTAGCTGTAGGATTAAAGTAAATTAAAGTTCCCCCTTTTAACCAGTGTTTCTTCCAGACTTTTTTCTCCGGGGGGCACTTGAAATTTTCGGGGGGGGGGGGGGGGCGGTAGACTTTCTTCGGGGGGGGGGGGCGGACACTGTTTAAAGTATATATTTTCTATATAAATTATATAAATTTCATTTCGTTCGGGGGGGGGGGGGGGGTGGCGGTAAAAAAAAAATTCGGGGGGGGGGGGGACTTAGCCCCCCCGAAGAGATGCCTGGAAGAAACTCGGCTTTTAACCTTACGGTCCATGGGGGTAAGTGAAGTAGAGTGCGCCTGTTTCTGTGATCTCGGCATTTGAAGGGATAGAGTGGTCGGCACTTACTTCCGTAACGCGAGTTAGGTACCCATCAGAGCTGGATGGACTCAGGGACGTTCTACTGAATTGAACTCGAGACTTACGGCTTAGCAGTCTAGCTCTCTATCGCTAGGCTACTCCTTCCCTAGCTCTAGGATTTGACTGTTTTAGTCTTCGCTTTTATCTATTCATTCACCGTATAAATTTATAATGATACAGCAATAACTAATTTTAATTTGTGTTCATAAAATTAGCACCTAATTAAATTAAATACTATATTCTTGTGCTTTTATCGAAGATGCAGTTTTCAGCGAAACTTGTTAGGAATTTAATTTATTTACAATGGATTAAATATTTCTTTACAAATTATCTGACAGACATTGTCCATGTAAAAAAAAAAAACGTAACGATGTTTTCATATTTACTTCTAAAGACCTTCTCCCACAGAAAAGACCTCTGCCAAAATTACAAAAATAGGGGGAGAGAACCGGATAGATTACATCACGACTGTTGTTATCTTTAGAATCATCGTTGACTACGTCAAGTCCTAATGTCATGGTACGTGACCCCATCACCACCAGTAGAGCCAGGAGTACAGTTATATTGATCATCTGTGTAAATTAACAAAAAAATACCTTGTAAAAGTGTGATGTTTTATTTGTTCTCACTCTTTCACTGATATCAATTCAAGTTATCATGTGTATTTTTACTTTCTCGTATATACGAAGTATAGAGAAAGTCTTGTAATCGTGCAAAAAAAAATAATCGAGATGTTTACAAATCTCGACGTTTTACACCTCAATGATACGGAAAAACATAATTTTGAAATCTTGTCCGTATGTCTGTGTGTCTGTCTGTGTGTGTGTGTGTGTGTGTGTGTCTGTCTGTGTGTAAACACGATAACTTGAGTACCGTTACAGCTAGGTTGATGAAATTTCATATATAAGTATTTTATCAAAATCGTAGATCCTGATCAACTTTTGAGCGATTTTCGATAACTGGAAGTTGTACTTTTTCTACTTTGAATTTTTCAAAAGCCTATAACTTGAGTACTATTTCAGATAGATAAATGAAATTTCACATGTAAGTAAAAGATATAATTCTCTACCTTCTGTCAAATTTTGAGTAATTTCCGTTGACCGGAAGTACTAATTTACGCTATTTCCGATTTCTTGAAAAACGCATGTAAATGTATAAAGTACAAATAATATTGCGCACTATTATGCACATTTTGTTTTGGCGTTCGCTTGGTAAGCAATTCTTTTTTCTATGAGATTCTATTCTATTTTTAAAAGTTTAAGTAATTAAAAATCATGTCTATATTCCGAGTTATATAAGAATACTCGAGAAAGTTTAGGGGAGATCACTCCCTGTTTATTTTAAATTTATGTTCGTGAATTATTGTTACACCGTGTTTACTCTTGCGACATGTATACTATACACGTCTAGAAAGAAAAAAAGCTTTGCATTAACGTAGTAGGCCACCCTCCCTACATGTCGCAAGCGTGAACGCAGTGATAGACCTTTTTTTATCGTTTACTTCTTGTTACGATAAACTCTAATGTGCGTATAAAATAATTTTTTTTTACACAAATCTTAATATGACGCAAATTTAATCAAGAAACAATACTCACCTTGACACAAACCCTGCTTTAGATTGACTGACCCAAAATTTCATGAAGGCTTTAAGTAACCAGAAAAATAGTCTATAAAATGCCTACATTTGTTAATGACGTCTTTTGTTACAGTATATTAAACTGATACCTAGAAGAGGGCAATAACTCGTCTCAATTGACTTGCAGTTCGATACGTCTGAGATTCAGATGATATACAGCAGGGGTCTCCAAACTTTTCAGTCCGAGGGCCGCATGAACTATCAAATTTCAGTTCGGGGGCCAGTTTCTTCCAGGCATGTCTTTGATTTTTTTGGGCAAAGTTCCTCAGCCATCACCAACAAACGATTTTTCCTTGGACAAAACGATCTCCGCGGGCCAGATGAGATGACTTCGCGGGCCACATCTGGCCCGCGGGCCGTAGTTTGGAGACCCCTGATATACAGGATCACATGTACGACTGTGACAGATGGAAATCTAGATTGTAGTTGTGGACAATTATTTGTGTTTTATTATAAAACTGTTTAAATGTATCTAAGGGGTCAACCATAAATAACGTCAAACTCGTATGGGGAAGGGGTCCGTAATTTAGTGACGATGTGTGATGGGGGGGAGGGGGGGTTCAGATGTTGCGACGTCACACTTTTGCATTATAAAAAAGCCATGTTAGAAAACGAATTTTAGACGTTATTTCGCATTTTAGATAACTGTTTTAATAAATTGTAATAGTTTAGACAAGATTTTAGAAAAATATCGATGTTTTAAAAAATTAAACTGCAATTTTGAGGGGGGTTGTAGGTTGAGGTGTGACGTCATTTAAGGATGACCCCTAACTCTGTACCAAATACTGTACTGTTGATGCCTCTAAACAAAAACAATATTACTGTAATTTAACCATTATGTTACAGCAGAAATGAACATAAAACACATTAAGAAATTGCAATTGAAGACGCAAAAAATGATACACAAAGTCTTGTAGTATTTTATTGAATCCGACATGTTTTTCGAACCCAACCCGTTTTTTTATTGACCAAATCTGTGGGATGATAGTTATCCATTCTGATCAGGCGGGTGCTAAAAGTAAATATTAAAATTTGTGTAATGGTTTTAGACACTTACACACACACACACACACACTAACACACTCACACACACACACACACACATACTCACACACGCTCACTCATATATATATATATATATATATATATATATATATATATATATATATATATATATATATATATATATATACATATATATATATATATATATATATACATATATATATATATATATATATATATATATATATATATATATATATATATATATATATATATATATATACATATATATATATATATATATATATATATATATATATATATATATATATATATATATACATATATATACATATACATATATATATATATATATATATATATATATATATATATATATATATATATATATATATATATATATATATATACTTGTTATCATGAATAAAGAAACCTGCAATTTTTCTTAAACTTTACCTTTAATGACTTTTTGGACTTCCAACAGTTTATTTGAATGCATGGTGGAATAAATAACCACTGACGTTGTCCCCTCTCAACGGATCCGTTGTTGACTACGTCTTTCTCCGCTACGCCAGACACCAACACGACGAACAAACAAACGAGTAAAATTTTCATCTGTGGAACAGAGAAAAACAAGACAAAAATGTCAAATTTCCTGAACCACATTTTTTTCTCCAAGGTGTGAGGACACTTGGGACGTTCGGTTGCGGACAGAGGTTATAGTATACATTTTCTAAATAATCTTTTTTTTTAAATTCCCCTTTTTAAAGAAGATTCCATTATTGGACACCGGTATCAACATTCTCCCAACAAAACAAAAGTAACTGAAAGGAATTGTGGTTAAACCACGTTTAGAACAGTGTGTTTGTTAGTCATTGTTAGCACTGTGAGTGCTAAGTTCAAGCGGTATTCAAAACAAGTTATTCGTTGACATTTTAAAGTGGATCTAAACTTTCGTGATTTCACTACAGTGATGACACAGTGAGAGATAGAAATGGGTGCCAACAGTATCGTTATAAAGTGTGGAAATGAAGTATTGTTAAGTTAATTTTAGAAAATACTAACGCTTACTTTAATAACACTTACTATAACAGGTTAGCAAAGCTGATAAAAAAACAAACAAGCGTACTGTGTAGTTCTTCGTTCAGATGAAGAAACTCTTAGATCAGTCTGACTATAAATACATTTGGATGATGTAACAATTGACGTCATTAGTTACGTAATAATTTCTTGAGGAAAGTTCTCAATTTTTAAAATTCGTAGTTTATTAAACTAGAAACCAACAATCGCCCCATTACAGCATCTTTTCCATTTGATGGACACACACGCCGTCTCCATTTACTTGCTTGTATAGCGATATCGATGAAAAAAACTAAATTTAGACGTTACTATTAACTCGTGTACATGTTCTCAATTTTGTAAAATTAATCTCCGTTTGTAATTGATATATATACATATATATATATATATAAATAAATTTAAATATATATATATATATATATATATATATATATATATATATATATATATATATATATATATATAGGCATATATATATATATATATATATATATATATATATATATATATATATATATATATATATATATATATATAGGCATATATATATATATATATATATATATATATATATATATATATATATATGTCAACACACAAACATATATGCTATATTTTCTTTATTTTCATTATTGTTTTCATACATTTCTCTAGTACCGTCCAAAGTACCAAGATCTGATCATTTTTACAACATACTAGTGTGATGTGATCCTTATTTGCCTAAAGTGTTTGATTAAAGTACATGTTTATTAAAAATTAAAATTATTTATAAAAAAACTGAGAACGGGAATAAATTTCAAACATCAACACATCAGAATAAAACTTAAATTTAAAAAAAAAAGACTTTATGTATTTCTCTTTTTTTATTTCTATTTTAAACATTAGAGACGAGGGCCTTTGCATATCACAAAGTTTGTATAGGTCCAAGTCAGATGCCTTTATATGGTGTTCTTTTCACTTCTCCCCTGCTGGTAGTTAAAAAATAAATGGAATTAGTGATAGTTGTAGATCAATATCCCAAGGTTACAAGAATATGCTATACACATATATATATATATATATATATATATATATATATATATATATATATATATATATATATATATATATATATATATAAAGAAATATCTTCTACAAATCCCATATATATATATATATATATATATATATATATATATATATATATATATATATATGGGATTTGTAGAAGATATTTTTTGTGTCATCGGTTAACATAATACTCCAGTTACGTATTTTTAAATTAATTTTTTTAATTAATTAATTTAATTTAAGTTTGTGAAATTTATTAATTTTTTAACAAATTCTAAGAACTGAGTATGCATATATTCGACATATTTTAAATCTAACACTTTTGAGTCATTAAATTAAGTTTTGAAAAGTAATTTTTGGGTTTAATGAAACTTTTCTTCAAAATGGGTAAAAAATGAAATATTTAATAAACAGACAGGCAGTTTTTATCCAGATAAAGCAAAATAGTTTTCAAATTTACCTGTAAAGACCTCCTCCAACAGGTATGACTACTGTCAAATTTGCAAAAGTAAAACGAAGAAACTAACTGACGACGGTCAAATTCCTTAGAATCGTTGTTTTCCAGATCGGATCCTATGGTACATGACCCCAACACGAACAAAAGGGAAAGTGCTAAAGTTAAGTGAATCAGCATCTGTGGGTAGAAATAAAATCATTGCATTAATTTCACACATTTTTGTGTCGTCACCTTTCTTCTTCGCTAGCCGTCTATACTCGCTGCACGTGAATTATAGGACTATATATTTTAATGTTATATTTGTTAGAGAGAAGAAATTAAAATAGTTATTGGTCAAAACGATATGTTCTTTACTACACGTTAAACGATATTAGTGACAAAGCTGTTCAACGTTGTTTTTGTAAAGTAATTTGTATTATTGGCCGAGAAAATTGTATAGATCTACATTTCAGAGAGCACGTATTGATAAGTAGATCTATTGATCTAAATCAAATTTAAATGAAAAAGTTAATTTCTTCATATTCTAAAATTGGGAAATGACGTCATTAGTTTTGTGTACAACCCTTTTCCGGTTGCACAATTTAAAATGTGTTTCTACATTCGAATATGCGTTTATTTTTATTTTCCTTCTTTAAATAAAATTTAGTCGATACATTTGAAACATCCAACATATTATTTTCAACAAGATTTCGTATCTTTAAGTTCTCCATATATCGCTGATCATATTGATCACATTGCCTAAAAAATGTTGCGGACAGAGCGAGAGGGAAAGGGAGAATGAGAAGTGCGCACATGGTCTTTTATATAGTAATTTATTTTCTCCTTTTTATTGCATCATTACATAAATGATTGTTATTAATACGTTTTTTGTGCAATTTGTTTTTTTTATTTGTTTTTTTATTTGCTATTTAAACGCATAATCAATCAATCAATCAATCAATCAATCAATCAATCAATCAATCAATCAATCAATCAATCAATCAATCAATCAATCAATCAATCAATCAATCAATCGGTCGATCATTCGATCAGTCAACAATCGATCAATCACTCAATCGATCGATACATCGATACATCGATTAATCCTAATCCGTCAATCAAACAAACAAACACACACAATCAATCGATCAATTAATAAATCAACCAATCATTCAATCAATCGATCGATCGATCAATCAATCAATCAATTAATTACTAAAACAACGCCGACGAATGTATCTAAGTTTAGACACTTACCATAACTGTAACAGGTATTTTAATCTTGACCGGTCACACAACTCATACGAAACACATGCACTTGTATACACCTCGCTAACAACCTGAACAGAGCTGGGACTGTCTTTCTATAAATACTTTGGTTCAAGGGAGACTACTGACGTCATGAGTTACACAATATGTGAAAAAGTTTTACTGGGTAATCCCACAGATCTATTTTTATGCAGATAGTAAACTTTCTAGATGGAGATAGCTCTGATGATCAAATGTGTGAGAGTGACAGATTGACAGATACTTTGTAGTCGTGGAAATACATGGGATAGCGTACAAAAACAAACAGGTTTTTATCTATGTTTTGAATTACGTGTAAGCGGAGTGATGCAATGGCTGTCTGGTGAGATGTTGTGGCCGTCCATTAGAGAGATGTGACAGAGAGATGTTGTGGCCGCCCAACGGAGTGATGTTGTGGCCGTCCAACGGAGTGATGTTGTGGCCGTCCAACGGAGAGATGTTGTGGCCGTCTAACGGAGAGATGTTGTGACAGAGAGATGTTGTGGCCGTCACACGGAGAGATGTTGTGGCCGTCCATTTGAGAGATGTTTTGGCCGTCCAACGGAGAAATGTTGTGGCCGTCTAACGGAGAGATGTTGTGGCCGTCACACGGAGAAATGTTGTGGCCGTCCATTTGAGAGATGTTTTGGCCGTCCAACGGAGAAATGTTGTGGCCGTCTAACGGAGAGATGTTGTGGCCGTCCAACGGAGAGATGTTGTGGTCGTCCAACTGAGAGATGTTGTGGCCGTCCATTAGAGAGATATTGTGGCCGTCCATCGAAAAGATGTTGAGGCCGTCCAACGGAGAGATGTTATGGCCGTCCAACGGAGAGATGTTGTGGCTTTCCATCGAAAAGATGTTGTGGCCGTCCAACTGAGAGATGTTGTGGCCGTTCAACGGAGAGATGTTGTGGCCGTCCGATGACTTCCATTAAAATAACTGATAACCGGGTACACTGAGGTAATGTAGTCGATTTGTTATAGATATTAACGGTTAAAAACCCCATATAGTTGACCAAACCTCACACAACACATAGAGATGTTTTGTGTAGTTCGATGATCATATGAACACTGTTGTTATTGTCTGACTTTAAATTCAGTTGGGATTGGAGATGGTTGACGTCATGGGTTACGTAATCAGAGTTTCTTCCAGGCATCTCTTCGGGGGCAGTCTACCGCCCCTCCCCCACCCCCGGGACGAAATGGAATTTATATTGAATTTATATAGAAAACATGTACTATTACCAGTGTCCGCCCCCCCCCCCCCCAAAAAAAAAATATCAAGTGCCCCCCCTCCCCCCCCCCCCCTGAGAAAAAAGTCTGGAAGAAACACTGTAAGTAATTTATAAAAAAAACCGAAATAAGACGCTATTTTGACGCTATGCTTTACCTCCATGATATTGACGATGCAACTAATCATTTACACGCTAAGTCGAATATCATATAATATAATGTATTAACATTAGTAGGGAAGGCATATATTGATATTTACATTACGTCATCATTTTCTCAAATGATATCAAATTGTTCTCAGCTTGTGATCAAATTTGTAGGTTGATATCAACTGAGTCACCGAAAATCCGTTTTTTTAAAATCTATGGATGACAAAACATATTAGCAAATCAGATTTTAAGATGGATCAGCGTGGTTGTTCGTGAAAGCTGTTGGTTGGTAAACCGAAAAGTTCCGAGTTCTAACCCTAGGGGCAGACGAGACTTAATATCTGGAAACGGCAACTCATTAAGAAGCTGCTGCCTTGTAGTTTGTTCTTGGATAGACAAAGGCTATGTGTCGCATAACAGGTAATACTTAACTGTGTGGAAAGTAATCCCAGTCAACATTACAACAAAAGAACGAAAAAGATTTTAATATGTGTCTTTTGTGTATGGACACAGGCGTGTCTTTTGTGTATTGACACATTTACTTTGCTATCCGTTTGCTTTCTTTTAGTGTATTCATTGTTCAGAATTCTTTTGACTAATTTACGCTATTATTACTTACTCTCTCTCTCTTTCTTATTACTCTCTCTCCTCTCTCTCTCTCTATCTATGTCTCTCTCTCTCTCTCTCTCTCTCTCTCTCTCTCTCTCTCTCTCTCTCTTTCAATCTCTGTTTTCTATATAAATTTCCTTGTCGACTTTATTCGGGGGAGGAGGGGGGGGGGGGGGGGGGGCTCATATATTTCATCCGTAATATGTGCTTCCAAAATCTTTATTCATGTAACCAGAAATTTTCAGTATGTATGAATGGCTTTTATGTATTCACTTTTTGTAAGTATATTTAGATCAAACAAATTATATGCTTAAATGGTGTTAAAAATATGAACCTTTAAACTTTCGTTATAACGTTGAAATTAATTGTGAATAATTAACGCACACGACTGAAAACATGTTAATATATCTACACAACGAAGCCAGATTTTAATATGAAAACTGATTTTCGCTTATTTATTATTATTTTTAAAAAGTGGAAGCACTTGTCTTTGCAGTCTCCCAATGTTAAATTATTCAAAAGCCGAATGTTGTCATGTGGTTATCTAGTCCATCGTTCCCTGTTGGTAATTAAAAAAAAGTTTCTTTACTTTGGAAAAAGTTGACACTTTTTTAAATGGATGTAAATCCGTTGGTAAATATCTCTATTTATCTACTTCTCTCTCTCTCTCTCTATCTCTATCCATATATATATATTTATATATCAAAGTATTCAGATGATGGTTTAGGCATTTGCCGGTGCCGCAGGCTCTTTCGATTTTCAGGCGGTCGCATCAGTTGAGTAGAACCCGTGGACAAATGCCGATCGACAACGAGTTGGTGAAAAGAGCACTTACGTGAGCTATATATAGAAAATAATCTTCTCCACGATCCCCCTGATATTCCATAAGGTTGTACACCAATTCCTATCGGTGACAGAAGAAACGGAAAAAACCCGTTACGGGTTCAAAGTGCGGCATATCCTTCGGGAAAACCTCGAAAACCCGTTAAAAACGGGAGACCATATTACCTTATATAAACGTAATATTTGTGAAAAAAACAGAGTCGAATTTTTAAAAACACTCTAGGGTACTTAAGCTTTACGCGTATGTGCAGTGGCGTCGCTAGGTCGGGTTGCTGCCTTAGTGTCACCCTCCCCCCAAATGGTATCACCGGTGCGGTCCGCACCCCCCGCCCTCGCTACGCCTCTACATGTGGCTAACCTTTTTGCCTGAACCTCGGTTAAAAATTAATGCTTTTAATCTAAATAAAAGAACAAACAAAGCTGATTTAAATTAACCTCTAAAGAACGTCTCCCACAGAACGAACTGGTGCCAGAACAGCGATCCTTGATGCTTCCAAATAACCCCCGACGACGGTTGAAATCTTCAGACTGAAGGTTGGCCTGATCGTGTCCTGCTGTCACGGCACATGAACCCATCAGCACCAGAAAGGACAGGAATAAATATAAATGGCACATTTCTGGAGAGAAAAGAATCATTGTATAAATGTGAAACATGTCCTCACCTCTGTATTCTCCCCCCCCCCCCACCCAGGGGCGTAGCAACCATGCAAGTTGGACACAGTCTATGGGTCCACGAGGTCTAGGGAACCCCGAGGTATAGGGAAAACCGAGGGGGTGGGGGTGGTTGATTTATGCCTAGTGAAGAAGAGAGGGGACTCAGAAGAGAATTATATATATAGATAGATTTTTACATTATTCTCAAGAAGAAAAATGTACTCGAAATCGTGAAAATGCTACAAAAAACGGGAATCGTCATAATGCAAGAAAAGAACACGTTAATCTCACAACATAGCGTCAGAAACTAACGTTCGTTAGCAACCCATCATATTTGGGGTGAACTCAGGGACGTTCTACTACTTGGACCCGGATTCGAACTCGAGACTATCGGGTTAGCAAACTAGCTTTCTACCGCTTTGGCCAGGCAGTCCCATAAATATAATATTTCACGTTACAAACGATACTTGACACTTTGGGTTTTAAGAGAAGAAACATCTTGAGTTGCAAGGAGAGTGTTCAGATACCGTAAACTTTCACAAACTTGACACGAACATCACCTCTACAATACACATATCTTAATAGATAATTTACCTTAACAAAAATCTCAAAACACAACTTTCACCAATCGTACACTGTGATGGTAGGTTCTAGAAGCGGAGTGCTAGACTGCTAACACGAAAGTCTAGAGTTCGATTCGGGTCCAAGTCACTAAAACGTCCCTCAATCCACCCATATCTGAGGGGTAGCCAACTCACGTTAAGGAAAAGAAAAGGCGGCTGGGAACAGTGGCGTAGGCAGGGGGGGGTCATAACCCCCCCCCCCATAGACCCCTCGGTATATATAAAAAGTATGAGGGGGGGGGTGCAAATCAAAAGTTTGAGGGGGGGTGCAAATCGAAAGTTTGAGGGGGGGGGTGCAATCGAAAGTTTGTCCCCGGGTAAAAAATTGGAACCCCCCCCCCTTGAGACGATCCTGGCTACGCCACTGGCTGGGAATAGTGCATTATCCCTTCATATGCCGAGGTCACAGAAACAGTGAACTCTACTTCGCATGCCCCATTAACTGTCATGTTTGAAATGCAACTTTACTTAAACATACACTGATACAAACCTTATTTTAAAATTTGTGTTTTAATTTAAAAGGTTGAACGCATTTTGCTTCTGTTGTTTTTAAATACAGTTCGAGATGACGTCCTTAGACACACGATATCAAAATGCAATACCAAACAGAGATTCATAACTCTGAGATTTAGATGATAAACAGGATCAAATACACAAGGGTGACAGATGGACATGTAGATAACATGCGTATCGATACAGTTGTGTTTGAAATCGAAAACTTTCGTTCTAACTCCGAGTTTAGAATTACAAGTAAATGAACTGATGTGCTGTAAACATGGTGAATGGAAACATGCGTAATGGAAAACTGCGCACCAAAAAAAGTGCGCAAGGGCATTTTTGTTTTCTTAAATCCAACATTTATTTACATTAACAAAGAGTGACTACATATACACTGTAGCATAATAAAACATATTTCACCGAAATGTAACAAAGTTAAAGTGCACTAGGTATTTTAGGTATTTTAATCTCGATCGGTCACACAACTCACACGAAAGACATGCCCGATAACGGTGCTAGAGCTGTCTTTCTATAAATACTTTCGGTTCAAGCCAAACTACTGACGTCATGAGTTACACAATATTTCAAAAAGTTTTACTGGGTAATCCCACAAATCTATTTTTATGTAGATTGGAAACTTCCTAGATGGAGATAACTCTGATGATCAAATGTGTGAGAGTGACAGATGGGCAGATACTTTGTAGTCGCGGAAATACATGGGATCTAGTAAAAAAAAACAAACAATTTTTTATCTACGTTTTGAATTACGTGTAAGCGGAGTGATGCAATGGCTGTCTGGTGAGATATTGTGGCCGTCCAACGGAGTGATGTTGTGGCTGTCCAACAGCGGAGAGATATTATGGCCGTCCAACAGAGGATTTCCATAAATATTGCGCAAACATTGCTTCCAGGGTTTAGAAAAGTGTACAACCTGAAGCAGAACTACAACAGACTTTGATATCTTGATTGTGACCCTCAGAAATTAAGGTACAGTTGTAGAAACTAGCGTTACAAACCAAACTCGAAAGGTAGAACCTGGTTTATTAAGCTGCAACGTTTTCTTCAATTTTCCAGAGACTTTATCTACCATGTCGCGTACACTACTGTGTTTATAATTGTACTTGTGTGTATTCCAATTTCAATATATGCTAAGGTATTCGTATTGACAATTAAATTACAACTTTTTGTCGTTTTACTAGTAACTGAGTTTTAGTTTGTAGAATGAAAAAAAAAACGTAAAACTTTTGTATTGACAAACTTTGAATTAAAACATAGTTTTTAATGAGTCTGAATTTTAATTTTCTTTAAGTAATTTTTACAAAAATTAGTCAGTCACTCAGTTAATCACGTGCAGCTTAAGTAAGCTCTTTTTCTACAATTGGAGCTAATTTTTCCATTTGAAAAAAAATCACATTATTTGTACTGCGTCAAAAATAAATTGGATTAAAACTGTAGAATGAAACCTGCAGGCTTGATAGCAAATTATTAAAACTATATAAGTAAAGTTTACATTTCAGAATTAACTATCAATAGGGCAGATAAAGTAGAATTCACATGTTTATTTACCTTTCATATGAAGTATGGTATGATCAGAACTATGCCCAGCCGCCTTTATATTACCCAACACCAGTTAGGTACCCAACAGAGCTGGGTGAACTCAAGGACGTCCTGAAATCACGGGTCCGGGCAAATATCCGAACTCTTGATTTTCGGGCTAGCAGCCGAGAGCTCAACCACTTGACCACTCAGATTATATGCGTATCTTAAGTTGTACTATAACACAGTTAGGAAGAGCGGTGAAATCAAGCCCAAAACTAAAATAAAGATTGTCGGATGTGGGTGGGTGCCACCCTCCGTTACCGTACCGGGTGACATCAGACCAATTGACACCACTGGATTGAGTACAGATTAAAAAACGAGGGCAGTAATTTAGTTGTCCTCCTTGGTTGTTTTTCACTTAATAAATCATCGTCCAAAAGCAGTTCTCATAGTTGTGTGCATGTCTGAAATTTAAAAGGGGTCAGTGTTTCTTCCAGACTTTTTTTTCTGGGGGGGGGGGGGGGACTTGAATTTTTTTTTTTGTGGTGAAGAGGACAAAAATTTCTGAAAAGGGGGGGGGGGGACACTGGTAAAACTATATATTTTCTATATAAATTATATTGTATGTATTATTTGTACATAAATGAGCTACTAGCAAAAAAATGGGCCTTTTTTTTAAAAATGAAGCTTGGTACAAATTATGTCGCACTTATAAAAATAAACTTTACTAGTTAGATAATATATTTTGCTACATCAGATATAAGTCAGAATTTATCTCTGCAAAACGTTTAGGATACATCAAATAAAAAATACATCTTTATACTACTTTAGACTACTGCCTTGTTTTAAATAGGAGCCAGAACAATAAGAAAATGAGGTACATGAAGCGCTGGCAGAAGTGACAAAAATCAAACACCCCTATATCATATCAGAAACGTTTGTATCCCAACACAAATCAAACCATGTTTTATTTCCTCTGTTACACAGATGCGACTTGTACTCATCTCCTTGCTGGTCGTGTTGGTGTCTGCGACTGTGAGAGCAGAGAACGACGAGATAACCAAGGAATCTGATGGAATGGACAGTCATGAATTTTGGTTTCTATTATTTTGTACGTCATGCGAACAAGAAAACTGTGGTGACGCTAGTCTCAGCTGTTTGCAGAAGAGAGTTTTAAACGTAAGATTTTATATATATATATATATATATATATATATATATATATATATATATATATATATATATATATATATATATATATATATATATATATATATATATATATATATATATATACATATATATATATATATATATATATATAAAGAGAGAGAGAGAGAGAGAGAGAGAGAGAGAGAGAGAGCAATTTTTGCAATTTTTGTGTTTGTGGGTTTTGTTGAAATCTTGAAACTTAATTTGGACCAACTTTTTGATGTAGCAAATTCGTTTAAACATTCCAGACATATTTTTCTTTGATGACAATGCAAGAGTATATGTTTTGATAAATCATATAATAGATTACGGATCCAATTTAAATAGAAGATTACTAGATTTACTAATAAACGGAAAGTTAACAAGATTAAGACTTAATCTAAATATTACTATCGATTCATCACCTAAACGATGACAGTGATCTGTTGGTATGGTTCCATGACAAATGATCTCAGACAAAATATCTCACGGACAAAAGATACCAAGACAAAATATATCAGGACAAATGATATCATGGACAAATGATCTCAAACAAAATATCTCAGACAAAATATCTCACAGCGAAATTTTAATAGTATTTTAGATGATTTTAGGTGATTTGAACTTTTTAAAAATCAAATGCTATTACAAAGATTAAGTTTGATAAATCTTTTAAGTTTAATAACAAATTCATTTTATTAACAATTATTATGCATGCAAAAGTAAACAAAACCGAATTGACAGTCAATACAAAAAATGCTCAGAGCAACTAAAATCATCCAAAACACTATCAAAATTTTCCTGTGAGATATTTTGTCTGAGATATTTTATCCTGAGATCATTTGTCCATGATATCATTTGTCCTAATATATTTTGTCCTGATATCTTTTGTCCGTGAGATCATTTGTCCTTGAGATCATTTGTCCTGAGTTCATTTGTCCGTGAGATATTTTGTCTGCGATATTTTGTCCTGAGATCATTTGTCCATGATATCATTTGTCCTAATATATTTTGTCCTGAGATCATTTGTCCTGAGATCATTTGTCCTGAGATCATTTGTCCGTGAGATATTTTGTCTGCGATATTTTGTCCTGAGATCATTTGTCCATGATATCATTTGTCCTGATATATTTTGTCCTGATATCTTTTGTCCGTGAGGTCATTTGTCCTTGAGATCATTTGTCCTGAGATCATTTGTCCTGAGATCATTTGTCCGTGAGATCATTTGTCGTTGAGATCATTTGTCCTGAGATCATTTGTCGTTGAGATCATTTGTCCTGAGATCATTTGTCCGTGAGATCATTTGTCCGTGAGATCATTTGTCGTTGAGATCATTTGTCCTGAGATCATTTGTCGTTGAGATCATTTGTCCGTGAGATCATTTGTCCGTGAGATCATTTGTCGTTGAGATCATTTGTCCTGAGATCATTTGTCCGTGAGATATTTTGTCTGAGATATTTTGTCCTGAGATCATTTGTCCGTGAGATATTTTGTCTGAGATATTTTGTCCTGAGATCATTTGTCCTGTCACCGTTGGTATTAGTTGTTTCGTTTCCTATCGTGAGATTAGACAACACACCGAGAAAGGGAAGATAATTGTCTTCTTGACATTTAGACATTGCAACTGATGGGGTTTTAAAACAAATATATTTTGTTGCTTATGTTGTTGACGTTATCAAAATCGAATAACTAAATCTTTGAAGACAAAAAATATATAGGCCTACAGCCATTACTTTAAAAAAATAATCTTTTATAAATGCACTGAATTTGTTTTAAATAATGTAATAAACTTGCTTTCTTTATTATAAGCACTGGCCGCTAAAATTTTAGGAACCATGCTTTTAATACAGAGAGCACGTTTTATATATATATATATATATATATATATATATATATATATATATATATATATATATATATATATATATATATATATATATATATAAATAAATAAATATATATATATATATATATATATATATATATATATATATATATATATATATATATATATATATATATATATATATATATATAATTAGACATTTTTTAAATTATTGTTTTTGTAATTTTATTTTATTATATTTTTTAGAATCAATTTGCTGGAATCATTGATTTTCCATGAACCAAGGTGTTGGTTTATTATAAACGTACTATTTGGGAGCTCTAATTCCAACATCAGAATATAAATAAATATGAAAATTTACAGAATTGACTTTTTTTATAGTATTAGCATTTTTAGTTTATGTTTGTTATTGTCACTGCGTGTAACGGCAAAAGCACGAAAGTTGTTTAAGTTGTGACAAATCGTGTCAGTGAGATATTTTGTCAGTGAGATATATTTGTCAGTGAGATATTTTGTCAGTGAGATATATTTGTCTGTGAGATATTTTGTCAGTGAGATATTTTGTCAGTGAGATATTTTGTCAGTGAGATATTTGGTAAGTGAGATATTTTGTCAGTGAGATATATTTGTCTGTGAGATATTTTGTCAGTGAGATATTTTGTCAGTGAGATATTTTGTCAAAGAGATATTTTGTCAGTGAGATATTTTGTCAGTGAGATATTTTTAGTGAGATATTTTTCTGAGTAAGATATTTTTCTCAGTGAGATATTTTTCTCAATGAGATATTTTTCTCAATGAGATATTTTTGTCTGTGATATAGTTTGTCTGTGATATAGTTTGTCTGTGAGATAGTTTGTCTGTTACAAATTTTGTCTGTGAAATGTTTCGTCATAAGATTATGTGTGTGCTAGGTATTTGGTCTTTAGAAGACTAATTAATGACTTATTCAATCCCTAATGAGCACATACTTTAAAATTTAACAATACTCAAACCGTCTCACTCATTACGTACTAGTATAAAATTATGAACAAACCCAGAATTTATTCACTCATTGATTTATTATTGACCATGTGCACAGTAGTATTTGCTGTCTAAAGACTCAAGATTACTTTTTATGTATTTAGGCCACCACTTCAGTGCCATATTTCTTTAACCTTTAAAAAAGGATGAAATTATTGTTGTTAATGTAGAAAAAATGTATATCTATTATTTTTTTAAAATGTACATAGAGCAGAGTGGTGTGAAGAGGGACACAGATTTTGCCACTCTTTTATCTATCTAGAATGATCTGAATTTCTCTAATCATTTATGTATGCAATTATTTAAGGTTTGACATCGTCCTTAAGATTCTGGTTGGTCTAATATAAAGATTTTAGCGGCACAAAATTTAAAATACGTCATGTTGGTGAGATGTGGGACAGGTAAATGGAGAAGTTGGACAGCCGTGTAGTCTAATAAAAACAATAAATGGATAGAAGTTTCAATAAATAAAATATAGACTAAGTACTTGATTGTTAAGATGAAAGTATTCCATTAAAATGAAAACTTTATCTAAAATATTGAACGACTGAATGGTACATCTTATCCCACTTCTCACTAAAGCTAGTTTGTGGCATAATTAAAAAAAAAGATCTTCGTTGTGATTACCAAAAACGTACACAAAAAATGCAATTACATAATAAGATGAATAAAGAACTAAATCTAACAGTGGGATAGTAAGGATCAAATAAATGTTGATCCTGTCCAGAGGACTGTGAAGATACAAAAAAAACGTTCTAGGCACTTCTCTGTAAAGATTAAACTAACAAGTTACTGGCGCGGGAAGTTATTCATAATGTTTTGCCTGTAGTATTTTTCTCAACCCTCTTCCCGCCCCCTCCCTGGTTGACCCCCCCCCCCCCTTCCTAGCTCTCCAGCATGCGCAACAGATTATATCGCTATCACCCCCACCCCCACCATTCTGCTGAGCTGTGGTTCACGCTGAATATTTACAATGGTAGAGCCGGGTCGAATTAGTGACGGCTTTTAGGGGCAGATACTTTAATTTTTAAACGATTGGAAACAAAGGGGAAGTAACAAGTTTTGCTTGATCTGTTCATTCTAGTCTGTTAACTGTTATCAAAGACGGCTGCTTACACGGGGGCTGGGGGAGGGAAGGGAAGGATAATCGCCCTTCACTAAATAGCGGCGTACTCTACGCCGCGGGTCGGCTCGTTATATATATTAGACTAAGGCTGTGGAAGCAAATCCAAAAAGAAAAGTAGGCTGAAATCGAAGTCAACGGCCTAAGTGGCGCATAACCAGTTGATACGTACACCTAATTATATTGGAGGGAATTCCTTTCAACACTAAAATTAAGAACAAAGAAGAAGAAGATTACATGCCTAATATCATACAGTATTTAAACGCTTGAATTCACAACAATTGTTCTAAAACTTTTACCTTTAAAAAGTACATTGCGTCTTACAAAGAGAATCATTGACTTTATACAGTAAACAAAAGTAAGGTCAAAACTCTGAGCGAAAGTATGATGATTTTTGACTATTGTATACCTCTCTTCTCGCCTTGTTCACAAAGTTATTCTTCGTTTTCACTGTCCCAGACACCAACACGACCAACAACAAAATGAGTATAAGTCGCATCTGTGTAAAACAGGAAATAAAAACAATACGTGTTTGGTATACGTTTATTTATAACCCCGAAACTACTGGTGTTTGGTTTCTGAAGAATCTTTTAATAAAAAGAGTATTATTTTTGTGATAAATTTCACAAACGTTTTAAAAAGATAACATGTGAATGAATGATACCAGTCATTATAATGTGTCGAATCGCAGGATATACCTACTAGTGTGAGGAGTTTGAATCACAGAGCAAATTAAAAATGGAAACAGCATACCATATCCCATAACGTACTGTGTAGATCAGAAGTGTGTTTTAACTTTGCATTTATAAATAGTTTTTGTAATATGGAGGTTTGTAATCATACATTTAAATCCTCCTTTCAATACCGTGCATGTTTTATCACACTTAGTTTCATAAAACTTACCATGACCAAACCACTCGGAAAAAAAGATTTAAAACTAAATTTTAGTGCGTCGACCAGATGAAAATGACTGAAACTGTTTCTCTATAAATACCGTTGGTTGTGTGCTAATGTGAAGTCACAAGCTACGTTACTAAATCCAGGCTAACGTTGATAAGAACATCTCGATTACCCAGTAGATTAAAACATTGAGATACGGTAGAAATAACCGATGATTTTTATGTATCACATGTGCAAACAAAATACAACCGTCGAAATCTTACACTTGTGTTTTAACATAACGTAAATATCTGATTTATATATTATTATTTGAGGCCATTTTGTTTTATAAATCATGGAAAACTTCGCTTTCGACTATTCCAGATGTTGTCGCGTTTTTGCTTCGGGTGTCTAAAAAAGGTTTGATTTGTTTTCTTAAGCGACGCGCGAACCGTCGTATAAACGGTGTCGAAGAAATACTAGACAACTTGCATTACAGCTACAATTTAAATCCAACTCAAAACTACATTTTCATCCACCGGGAATGCTATACTTTTGATCCACATTGACTGGTACCCTTTATCCATCTTTAAAGTTACCCTTGAATCCACCATAAAAAATACCATTGAATCCACCAAACATGTTACTCTTTAATCCACCATAAATATAACAATTGAATCCACCATACATGTTACCCTTTACTCCATCATAAATATAACTATTGAATCTACCATAAATGTTACCCTTTAATCCACCATAAATATAACCTTTGAATCTACCATCAATCTTACCCTTGAATCTACATTGTTACACCATAATAGTTTTCCATTAGTTACTAACAAAAAACGAAACGTTTTATCTGTGTTAAATTTGGTGCCTTGTGGTACACGTCAATCTAGAGAAGGTTCGTCCATTTCACTTGGTCTCTCGCATTGAACACTTCCTCATCTGTCCCATGTGTCTTTGTACAACAACAGGAAAATATGATGAAAACATTGAACATCTTTGTCAGACAATTTTAGAAGTGTTGTGTTGGTTACTGAACTGCATAGCAAAGTTACCATATATATATATATATATATATATATATATATATATATATATATATATATATATATATATATATATATATATATATATATATATTAGAATATATACTAATATATACTTCAAAAATTTATAGCGCTCCCCCCTCCCAACTTCGGAGAAAACAGTCTAAAAGAAACACTGATCTGCATATCTTGCGTACGAGTGCAGAACATTACTTCGGTAGTAGTTGTTTTTTTTTTAAATGATGTCACATTATGCAAATTGTAATAACATTTACAGTCATCTTCCGGTGAGTATTCTCATTATTTAGCGAGTGTGAAAAATGTCCGGCATTATCAAGCGAGTGTGACAAATGTCAGCCATCATCAAATAAATATGACAAATGTTATCAATATTTTAGCAAGTGTGACACTGTGCTTACATTTTAGACAGTATTAGCGAGAGCTGAGAGCAGACTAGACTGAAAATAATGTTAACATTAATAATGTGTTCTTATTAATTGCATCATAAACACAAATAGTAGTAATACATATCCACAAAGAATGGTTTCATTTTATTTGTGTTGAGGAAAATATAGCATGAATAGACACACATCAAGCTAAAAATCGGTTATCAGAGAATCTAAACAACAGCTGCTGGAAAGCCTTAACCAATCGGATGACATAAACAAACTATTGTCAAATGACTTAAAACAACAACTATCAAATGACTTAAAACAACAACTATAAGATGTTTTAAAACAACTATCAGATGACTTAAAACAACAACTATCAAATGACTTAAAACAACAACTATCAGATGTCATAAAACAACAACTATAAGATGTTGTAAAACAACAACTATCAAATGACTTAAACAACAACTATCAGATGACTTAAAACAACAACTATCAAATGACTTAAAATAACAACTAAGAGATGACTTAAAACAACAACTCGGTTATCAGAGAATCTATACAACAGCTGCTGGAAAACCTAAAACAAACAGTTAATCTAAAACAACAACTATCAGATGACCTAGAACAACAAATATCAGATAACATAAAGCAACAACTATCAGATAACATAAAGCAACAACTATCAGATAACATAAAGCAACAACTATCAGATAACATAAAGCAACAACTATCAGATATTATAGATACATAAAGCAACAACTATCAGATAACATAAAGCAACAACTATCTGTCAAACACACGGGTAGACGTGAAAGTGTGGGTAGACCGAAAAGTCCTGAGTTCAAACCCTGAGCATCGGAGGCTAGGTAAGGGATCGGCGTGGTCGAGTCGGTAAAAGCTCATGGTTGCTGAACCGAAAAGTCTCGAGCTCGAAACCTCGGGCATATGATGCTCGTTAGCTGGGGACAGCCACCCTTCTAGGAGAGACAACTCCAAAATCAAAAACTGCTTCCTTGTTGTAAGTTCTTGTTTAGACAAAGGCTATAAAAGCAAATCCAAAAAGCAGACTGAAAGCGGAGTCAAAGACCCATAACAAACTAAACAGTTATACTCAGGGGCGGAACTACAGTGCCGCCAGACCCCGCAATGCGGGGTGGCCCACGCCATTTAGGGGCCCACAGCCGACCATAATATTTTGTTTATAGTTAAAAAAAAATAATTTTCTTGCATTTTTATATTGATGGTTGTTTTATGAAAAAAAAGATTACTGTAGCTGCGGTTGGATTATCTTTATTCTATAGACACCACCCCTCGCTCTTGTATATTCTTTTTCCCTTTGTTTTTAAACCATTGTGAAAGCCGAGTCCTCTTTCTCCATCAATCAAACTTATCAAAGATAAGCAGACTTTCAAACCACTTCTATGACTTATTTCTCTTTTTTAAATAGTCAAATCGGGGTGCTCAAAAGCTCCTTTAAATATATTTGTACTAAACATATTTAAAAAAGCAATGACTTCTCTTAATTATTTTTTTAAAGTACTTACTAAAGAATAACATTGAATAAAAATGAAAAGTATTTAAAATGAAAAATATAAATACTAACAAACATAAAAATAAACATAGAACGAGACACCATTATTTATACAAAGCTTTCATGGTTTATATTCTTTTGACCGACTAGAGGTTTCGAGGTCTTAAAGCAGAGATAAAATAAAACTGATTATTACAGAACACACAAAAGCACTAACTCACATGACATGTACTAATTGAAAAAAAAAACATTTATTTTGTTCATAACCCGAACAGGCCAGCAATGAGTATCATAATTAATCATATGTTCGTATTTAGTGTTTGTATATATATATATATATATATATATATATATATATATATATATATATATATATATATATATATATATATATATATATATATATAGATATATAGGCCTATATAATATATGTATATGGGGGAAGGGCCTAAAAAAATTTTTTTGCGGGGTGGCCCTTTTTTTCTAGTTCCGCCACTGGTTATACTACTGTGTTGGAGGACATCCCTCAAAAATAAATATTAAGCAAGAAGAAGAAAGATAAACTATACCAATAAGTAAAAAATACTCAAAAGATATTAGCGAAACAATTTTCACATTGTGTACCTCTGTCGTGTTTTTTTTAAGTACCTTAATTCTACCGTATAAAAATAATTTAATCTAACACAGTAGCTGATGAACACTTAATGTAAAATGTAGCTCTACTAAAGCATTCTCACACAGTCAATAGCAGTATAAAAACATGACCAAACTCAGGTTTCAAAAATTCATTGATTTATTATTGTTGTGTTTACAAAAGCAGTCGGTCTGTCTTTAGACTCAAGATTATATTCTACGATTTCAGGTTAACTCTCACGCGCCGCATTTTCTATAATTAAAAAAAAAACATGAATTTATTGTTTGTTAACAATCATATATATATATATATATATATATATATATATATATTTATTTATTTATTTATTTAATTATTTATTTATTTAGTTATATATACATAATTTATATACATATATACTGCTTACAATACAAATTTGTTTTTACTCATCAGGATTTAGTTTACTATGATTGTGTTATCAACAAACTCTCTTTCAGTACTAATGATCCTTACAAATATTAAACCAGTTGTTTCATTTGTTAATCAGAGCTGTCCTGATTGAAAAACTGCATTCTATTGCTGACCTAATGACATTAATTAAGAGTTATGTTCAAAAACTGAATTTCTTTACCTTTAAAAATAACACCCGTGTTTACACAAAGGATCGTCAGGGTTATAATTTAAACAATAGATGTAACACGAGGGTGCGAAAAGGGTCAGTCCTTGACGACGATCCACCTCTACAGACTCGCTGTTGTCCACGTCGTTCTCTGCTCTCACAGTCCCAGACACCAACACGACCAGCAAGGAGATGAGTACAAGTCGCATCTGTGTAACAGGAAATAAACATAGTTTGATTAAATGGCACGGCAAATATGTTTCTGTGATGTTAACTGCCCTAAACGTGGACATGTTGTTAGAACCGGTGTGTTACACATTTATATTATACACACATACATGTATGTTACACATACATACATGTATGTTATACATACATACATGTGTCTCATACACACATACATGTATGTGTAACTGGTTTTCTTATCTATATTTGTACACGTTTTTCAATATTTGTTAAGGCGATTTACTAAGGACTGCCGTGAATTGTATTCGAGGTAAAATAGTACTGTACATTTCTTATGATTTGTCCTGAATGTTTCGAAGCTTGAAGAAAACATTAAACTGTGCTGAGTTTGAAAAGCTGTGTCTCTTTCCTTCATTTATTTTAAAAGTGTTCACTTAAACATATACTCACCTTACGTTAATCAGTTGCTTGGGTTCGCACGATGGCTGTGAATGTGTAATGTAACTCGCCAATCAGATGAAGCCTACTTTATTTGAACTGTCTGACTTATAAATACCCGTTGGCAGAAGTAGGCGGTTGACGTCATGGAGGACGTAATATTTAATTTTAAAAAAAATGAGGGAACATTATTCTTTGTATTTGTATTTGAAAAAACCCCAGTAGATAACGTTAAAAATAAAAGTTTCTGGTGATGTAACAGCTTGATAGGACGATGACCAACACGACTGCAATCAAACTTTCGATGTGCATCTTTTTGCCATTAAAGTGACTTTTCAATTTCGACATTTTATAAAGTTCGCCATATTTTTACTATTGTCTTCTATCTAGATTGAAGTTTTATCAATGTCAACGTTGCGTATGTTTCAAATTTCAGTTCGACATTTTTACCATCTATATTATGATGTTAGTTCGCATCCGGGTCCAAGTCAGTAGAACGTCCCTGAGTCCACCCAGCTCTAATGAGTACCTAACTCATGTTAGGAAAAAAAAGGCGGCTGGGCAAAGTGCTGACCGCACTTTCACTTCAAGAAACAAATAAACTCTACTTCATCTGCCCAATTGATCGCTAGGTCTAAAGATGATTCTTTACGTTACTTTCTATATAATATGATGTTGATAGGAAATGTTGCAAACAGTGATCATCGTATTGTTTATTTCTGATAGTTGTAATTTCTCAATGGAGCACTTATGATTTTAAATTGACATTGGGCTAACTAAAGTAGTTAAATAGACAATGTTATGTGGAGCGATCAAGAATGTGTGATGCAAGCCGTCAAGGTAATACAAGAAGGATTAAAATGACATCTTCAGTATGAATTAATGTTGACGGATATATTACTCACTTTATATTTCAGTGCAGATGTATTTGAGGACATACAATGTGAAGTAATATCTACTTGATTGATATCATTGCTATAGACGTTTTCTCCATCGTCAAAACTAGATGTCAATTGAGAGGTATTATTGTCTTCGTGCTATTTTAAAAAAAAATAATATTTAGTAGTGGTTTACTTATCACATAAATCGTCGACAAATAAATGGATAGTATATTGAGATAATGTTCATCTAACCACCAGGACAAATTATCTCAGGACAAATTATCTCAGGACAAATTATCTCAGACAAAATATCTCACGGACAACTCATTCATTTAGTATATCTCACAATCATTATGTGTAAAGAAAAAGCAAATAATATTCATATGACAATGTAAAAAAAATGTTAAAATTGACTAAAATCCTCCTAAATAATATACTTATTTTGATGTGAGATATTTTGTGAGATGTTTTGTTTAAGATAATTTCTCCATGGTATCATTTATCCTTTGATCTTTTGTCGGTGAGATCATTTATCCATTAGATAATTTGTCCTGATATCTTTTGTCCTGAGATCATTTGTCTGTGAAATATTTTGTCTGGGATATCATTTGTGCTGAGATCATGTGTGCTTAGATCTATTTATTTTCCTGAGATCCTTTGTCTTCAGTATGGATTAATATTGACTGATTTAATAGCTATTTTATATTCGAATACATCTGTATTTGAATATATTATGTATGTGTCCCTGAAGTAATATATATGTGAGTTATATCATTTGTATCTACAATTTCTCCAACGTCAAAAGTATAGGTCGATTGAAAGGCGTTGTCGTTTTCGTTCTATTTTTGCGCAAATATTGAGTAATGGTTGACTTATCGAAGTTATCATCGACAAATTTATTGATAGTATCTGGAGACAGTCTTCATCTAACCACTCAACGTTGCATCTGTTACCTAGGCAATCGTCAAAGGTAAATTATTCGAAATTTAGCCTTAAAATCCAACAAAAAGTATTGTGTTAAATTGCATGTATTTTCAGACCGGATGAAGTCTATTTATTTATGTCGTAGGCTGCAGTGGTCCATATTAAAATCTATCAAAACGTATTGGGCTACATTGTGTATATATTCATACTGTTGGGGTCTGCTATTTAATCTTGTGCTTGTTTCAGTATCAAGTGGTGGCAGACTTAGTGTAAAGTAACGTAAAGCTCCCTTTTCGAAGCTGACATTAGGCATGTAATGCAGAGGCGTAGCGACCCATTTCTGCGCCCGGGGCGGACTTTCAACTGTGACCCCTTTTCTACCATTTCAAGATATAGTTACTCCTGTTTGTGAAAAAGCTTCACCCACCCCCCGCTTCCAGTTGGAAAAGGTTGTGGCGCTACTTACCAGATACTATCCCGTAACATTTTTTATTTATTTTGGTGACACAAAAACAGCTAAATCAGTGTGGAAAGCCTTGTAGTCGTTTATTTTCGTAACTTTGATTGTGTATATTTCAATACTTCAGCTTAAAATGAGCTTGTTAGTTATTTTTTACTCCCTTTGGCGCCCCCTTAGGGTCGGCGCCCGTGGCGGCCGCCACACCCGCCGTCCCCTATCTAAGCCACTGATGTAAAGTAGAGTTCACCCGTTTCTGAGACCTCGACATACGAATGTATGATCAATCTTAGATGGGTGGACTCATGGACTTCAACCCGGAATCGAACTCGAGACCTCGGGGTATACAGTCTAGCACTGTACAGTTGGTCCACGCAGTCCCATCGGTCGTAATGTGCATTGTCTTAATTAAACCAACTCGTTAATACTTTTGAGAAAATCAATGTGCATGTGGAAAAAAAATTCCATGTGAAGTCGATGTATTAACCATTTATTGACTTACATTTATTTTTAATAGTGATAGAATAGAATTTTATTTTTAACAGTGTAATTCTATTCTACATTGTCTTTAATTTATACACATCTGTATGTGTGTATACATATTAGTTTTAAATTTGCGATGTAATTAAATTTCCGTTACCTGGGGTGATACTGGTTTATGTATATGAAAATATTTGGTAAGTATAGGCAAGAAAATTCCGTAATGTATCTGACTGTTGCCAATATATATACACAAAACATTTAAAGACCGAATTACATACAATCATTAAGAACAACTACATACATATTGTACATTTTGTGGTAGTTTAATCGATTATTGGGGTACTTTTCGCCATTTTCTTTTTTATCTAATCAAGATAAAACCATGGGCTGATTTGAAGTTATCGTATCTGTGCTGGCTGAGACTGAAAGAAATAATATAAGAAAACATTTAAAAAATTAAAACTACTAACAGTTTAAAAAATTAATTAATATCATAATTAAAAGGAATAAATAATGTAGATCTCATAACAGTCAAGTATACAAACATGATTATTTAACATAAATATTATTATACAAGGTGTAAATTAATAGATGTCAAAAAAAATTTCGATACTAATAAATTATCCTTTTTCTACTTATGGTATTGATAGGTTCATTTATCTTTTGCGAATCATAAATAGTCTACTAAAAATAACGTTTAAACTAACAATTTAGTCGAAAGACTTACCTCCGCAATTTGTCTTTGATAAATACATTTTTCTCCGAAGAATCTACACAATAAAATAATAGACCCTTGTCGACGTTCCACCTCTACAGACTCGTCGTTGTCTACGTCATTCTCTGCTCTCACAGTCCCAGACACCAACACGACCAGCAAGGAGATGAGTACAAGTCGCATCTGTGGAACAAAGGGAATAAAACATGGCGTGTTTTGTCCATGGACTTCGAAATAAAAACTTTGTTGGTTTCTCAAACCTATAAATTAATTAACTGTTAGAAACTTGTCTTTAATGTGTTTTTTTTTTAATATTTATTCATGGAATAAAACACAATTGATTCCTATGGATTTGCTTTAACCTTCTGTTTACACTGGCATGGCACTAGAAAGAGGGCTAGAAATTGTTGTTCTATAAGCCCATAGAGGTGCCAGGACAAAATGATATTAGACAAAATCTCAGACAAAATATCCCAGACAAAATGTCCCAGACAAAATATCCCAGACAAAATATCCCAGACAAAATAATCTTAGACAAAATCTCAGACAAAATGTCCCAGACGAATGATCTCAGACTAAATATCTAAGACAAATGATATCAGACAAAATATCCCAGACAAATTGTCTCAGAAATGAACCCCGACAAAAGATCTCATAAAAGATATCCCAGACAAAATATCTCAGACAAAATATCCCAGACAAATAATCTCAGACAAAAAATCCCAGACAAATAATCTCAGACAAATTATCAAGGCAAATGATCTCAGACAAATTATCCCAGACAAAATATCCCAGATAAAATAAAATCCACATTACCCTCAGTAAATCAACGTTAAAATCGACTAAATTCATCCTAAACACTATTAAATATTGTGATGTGAGATATTTTGTCTGAGTTCATTTGTCTATGATACAATTTGTCTTTAGATCTTTTGTCCTTAAATTTTTTGTCCATGAGATAAATTGTCCATGGGATTATTTATCCTTGAAATCATTTGTCCTGAGAACATTTGTCCTTGAAATCATTTGGTCTGTGATCATTTTTCCATAAGATCATTTGTCCTAAGATCATTTGTCCTGATATAATTTGTCCTGAGATTATTTGTTCTTGGGTCATTTGTCCTGATATAATTTGTCCTGAGATCATTTGTCCTGAGATAATTTGTCCTGGGATCATTTGTCCTGAGAACATTTTTCCTGAGATCATTTGTCCTGAGGTAATTCGTCCTGAGATCGTTTGCCCTAATATTATTTGTCTTGAGATCATTTGTTCTTGAAATCATTTGGTCTGTGATCATTTGTCCATAAGATCATTTGTTCTGAGATCATTTGTCCTGATATAATTAGTCCTGAGGTTACTGGTCCTTAGATCATTTGTCCTGAGTTAATTTGTCCTGAGAACATTAGTCTCTTGATCATTTGTCCTGAGATCATTTGTCCATGAAATCATTTGTCCTTGAAATAATGTGTCCTGATATTACTTGTCCTTAGATCATTTGTCCTGAGATCATTTGTCGTGAGATCATTTGCCAATACACCGCCCACAACACAAATCTACACCACCCTTACCTTAAAGGACTGTGAACTTATCCTCTAGTTCCTCGTCCAGATGGATGATGTTTCGAACTGTCTATAAATACTTTTTATCGATAACTGTCACATGACGTCATGATGTATATCCAATCAGCTTGACCGAACAGATCGCCATTGAAGTGTCGTACAGCTTTTGTTAAAAACGTCATAGCTTGTGTTAAAAACGTCAGAGATCATGTTGATAGCAGCCAGTGACAAATTGGTCAAAGGGACTTTATCGGTTAAATAATTCTGCATTATTACAACAAAGAGACTTCAATAGCGGTCTGCTTTGTTACGCTGGTTGGATAAAAAATCATGACGTCAAAAGGCGGTTGTCCGTAATGTATTTATAGACTGTTAAAACACCAGTCATCATGAACAATATGATACGATCACATCCAGTCAAGGTAAGTGTGTTGTAAGTTAATGTAATGCACTTATAGAACTACGATTATCTACCCTCGTTCTGGTCCCTGTATAAACAGAAGATTAAAGCACTTCTTAGCGATCACGTCTAAGAGTCAAAAGGAGTATCGCATCCTTGCAGAAACAACAATTTGTTTTATTTCAATACTAAATTTTGAAAACCGTTAGAGACGAATTTTTATGGTTTATCAAATAACAAAACTAGGCTTAAAAAAAGCAAACAAAATCTACGTTTTAATTCCATCGACCAGTGGCGTAGCGAGGTCGGGTGTCACCCGGTGCGGCACTTAATGGTGTCACCCCCCCCAGAGGCGTAGCGACACTTCCCGGAGAAAAACTGTCAAATTTTCGATTTACACCCCCTCCCTCAAACTTTCGATTTGCACCCCCCTCAAGTTTTCGATTTGCACCCACCCCCTTCAAACTTTCGATTTGCACCCCAACCCTAAAATTTTCGATTTGCACCCCCCCCCCCCTCAAACTTTCAATTTACAGCCCCCCCCCTCAAGTTTTTCTCTATATATTTTTCTATTTTTTGCCTTGGTGTCACCCCCCCCCCCCCCCTAAATGGTGTCACCCGGTGTGGTCCGCACCCCTGCCCCCCCCTCGCTACGCCTCTGCCATCGACGAAACACGCCATGTTTGATTCCCTCTGTTCCACAGATGCGACTTGTACTCATCTCCTTGCTGGTCGTGTTGGTGTCTGGGACTGTGAGAGCAGAGAATGACGTAGACAACGAGAAGTATGTAGAGGTGGGCCGTCGTCAATTAGTGGGGATTTATAGATGCTCTACAACCCCATTCTGTTTTTTCGGAAGAAAACGTTTAGAGGTATAATATTTTATTTAGTTAACAATGTTTGTGGGTTTGTTAAAAATGTTGTAACTTAATTTTAACCGGCTTTGAAAGCAGCGATTTATCTTAAACTTTCCAAATACATTCATCTTCGATGTCATTGCAGAATATCTTATTCTTAATCTACTTAGACATTAGCATAATCATTATTTTTCAGCTAAAAATTACTAAATTCAATAATAAAAGGGGCGATAAAAATATAAACAAATTTCATAAAAACGTTTTAATAACAAGCTTTTATGTAATAATGCACTAAAAAGTAGAAAATAAATTATAGACTACTATTTAAATAACTATAAAGAAAAGCGTGGGTGTCTTCCTTAACATTAGTAAAGGTATCCAATAGATACTAAAGTGACCCACGCTTTTCTTTATAGTTATTTAAATAGTAGTCTATAATTTATTTTCTACTTTTTAGTGCATTATTACATAAAAGCTTGTTATTAAAACGTTTTTTATGAAAAAAAAATTCAGTACTTTACATGTTTTATTTATAATAGAGTTACATGACTAAAAACCATTGCGCGCCTATTGAACGTGATGGCGCGCCTACTGAAGGTGATGGCGCAGCTATTGAACGTGATGACGCGTGTGGTGTGGTTGGATAGACATGCCTATTGATTCGGTCCAAATTTTAATTAATTCATAAAAAATTAATTAGGCATCCAATGAAGTCAAATTTAATTTCAGATTGCATTGTCTTCATGTCTTGACCCACGTGCCAAATGTGAATCGTATCGGTCAAGTAGAAGTGTCCGAATTTTCACTCCAGCATTTCACTCTAGACAGACAGACTGACGACTGGCGACTGACGACTGACGACAGAGGAAGCGAGTTAAATAAAAGCTTGTAAAAACAAGCAGTGAATAGTTTGATAAAGGTTGGTTTGTTTCTTGCGAACGGACAAAGTAAGAGCAGATAATTGTTTCTTTGGAGATCGCAAGCTACTGACGTAATTTTAAGGCACATATTTTAGGCGTAGGTGCTGTTGTTCAAAGTACGAATTACATATGAGGGCGAGGGGCGGATGTACTGCAGGGAGGGGGTATAGTATATATATATATATATATATATATATATATATATATATATATATATATATATATATATATATATATATATATATATATATATATATAATATATATCCTATATATATATATGTATATATATGTATATATATGTATATATATATATATATATATATATATATATATATATATATATATATATATATATATATATATATATATATATATATATATATATATATATATACATATATATATATATATATATATATATATATATATATATATATATATATATATATATATATATACATATATATATATATATATATATATATATATATATATATATATATATATATATTTAAATAATTGTTTTTTCTAATTTTAATTCATTTAATTTTTAAAATCCATTTGCAGGATTCATAAATTTTACCTTGAACAAATGTGTTTGCTTAATTAAAACCTACTATCTGGGAGTTCAAACTTCTACATCAGAGTATAAATAAATATGAAAATTTACAAAATTGGCTTTTTTCATAGTATTTGCATTTTTAATTTATGTTTGTAATTGTTGTTGTCTGAAACGGCAGAATCACGAAAGTTGTTTAAGTTGTGACACATTTTTCGTGTGAGATATTTTCTCTGTGACAAATTTTGTCAGTAAGAGTTTGTTTGTGAAATATTTCGTCATTAGATCATATGTGTGCGAGATATTTGATCTTCAGAAGAATAATTAATGACTATCTCAATCCCTGATGAGCACTTACTTTGAAATTTAGCAATACTCAAACCGTCTCACGCATCACGCACTAGTATACAATTATAAACAAACCCAGAATTTACTCACAAATTGATTTATTATTGACCATGTTCACTATATCATTCGCTCTGTCTTAAGACTCAAGATTACCTTTTATGTATTTAGGCCACACCCCAGTGTATATTTCTTCATACTTAAAACAGTGAAATCATTCTTTGTTTATGTAGAAAAAAAATCATATCTATTCTTTTTGTAACGTAAGTTAGGGGAAAAAAGAAGGCTATGCATAGTGCTGACCACACTATCCCTTCATATGCCGAGTTAAATGAATCAGGTGAACTCTACTTCATCTGCCCCTTGTGTCTTGGGCACGAACGGGATTAAAAAGGAGAAGAATCCTCTCCACTAGTTTCTGGGTAACAACAATACCTTCCCTGCTGCCAATTAGGCAATCTATACAAAATGCACCTATTTCTGTGACCTCGGCTCCGTGTAGCCCACACTACGACCAGCCAAGTGTACTTTCTCTTACCTGAGTCAGGTTCCCATCAGAGCTGGTTGGACTAAGAATACGAACTGGAAGCTCTTGAGTTAGCAGTCGAGTGCACTTCCGTCCGACCGCGCCCACCCCTAGAGTCTTCCTAGTGTTACTATAATGTAGGCCTTATCCATTTTTCTCTATCATAACCCTCCTGGATTGTTTGCATTAGAGTTTCTTTCAGGCAAAGTTCCCCCGCACCAGATCAAAGAACGTCTATCCCCCCCCCCCCCCCGAACGAAATAGAATAAAAATAGATAATATATACTTTTAACAGTGCCCTCGCTTCCCCTCTACAAAAAATTCGAGCGCTCCCTTCCCCTCCCCCTCCTTGGAGAAAAAAGTCTGACAGAAACGCTGATCTTCATTTCTAGCATACGGGTGCAAGACATTACTTGGGAAATAGTTGTTTGATTTGAATGAAGTCACATTACGTAACAAGCAACAAGCAATTATATTTACAGTTTTTCATCTAGATAGTGTGAAAAATGTCCGCCATTATTTAGCGAAAGAAACAAATTGAAACGGTGTTTGAATAAACAATGTATTGATATTAATTGTAAAACAAACACAAATAGTAGTGATGGTTATCCACAAAGGATAGTTTATTTTGTTTGTGTTGATAAAAAGATAGCATGAATAGACACACATCAAGCTACAACTCGGTTATTAGAGAATCTAAACAACAGCTGTTAGAAAACCTAAATCAAACAGTTAATCTAAAACAACAATTATCAGATGACTTAAAGCAACAACTATCAGATGACTTAAAGCAACAACTATCAGATGACTTAAAACAACAACTATCAGATGACTTAGAAGAAGAACTATCAGATGACTTAAAACAACAACTATCAGATGACTTAAAAGAACAACTATCAGATGACTTAAAACAACAACTATCAGATGACTTTGAAGAAGAACTATCAGATGACTTAAAACAACAACTATCAGATGACTTAAAACAACAATTATCAGATGACTTAAAACAACAACTCGGTTATCAGAGAATCTAAACAACAGATGCTAGAAAACCTGAAGCAAACAGTCAATCTAAAACAACTATCAGATGACTTAAAACAAAATATATCATATAACATAAAGCAAAACTATCGGATAACATACTGTAACAACTATAAAATAACATATTGTAACAAATATAAAAAAACCTAATGTAACAACTATCAAATAACATATAGAAACAACTATCAGATAACATAAAGCAACAACTATCTGATAACATAAAACAACAAGTATTAGATAAGCAACAACTATCAGATAACATAAAGCAACAACTATCAAATAAGCAACAACTATCTGTCAAACACAAGAGTATTCGTGAAAGGGTGGGTAAACCCAAAAGTTCTGAGTTCAAATCCTGGGCATTGAAGGCTAAGTAAGGGTTGGCGTGGTCGAGTCGGTAAAAGCTCTTGGTTGCTAAACCAAAAGTC